TGATTCCATCACATCCATGAAACCTGAGTTTGGATGTTTTCCATCTAGTAAAGAAAAGAGAGACCCATCCTTGGGAAACTGCAGCCCAGTCAAGTATTGATCACATCGAGGACCAAAAATGAATGGTGGCAGGTCTCTTCCTCTCATCTCCTGCCACTGCACAATCAAGACCCATGCAGAGGAGTGTCCTGATGGCTGGAGGTTTCTCTTGGAACTAGTGTGGCATGTTACCAGTTGCAGGATGTTAACTTAAGTCTGAGTGTTCGGAAGTTTATTCCCTGTAGTAAATGAGTACATGTAGTAAATAAATAGAACAGCATAGCAGAGCATGAATGCTTGCTTGGTGAAGGGGTCTGAGAGAGGCCATCAAAGTTCTGAGTTCCATGATCCTTGCACAAAAGCAGTGCCCAGTTACCACACAAACCAGCTTCCAGCTCTGCAGTAAGCTGGGGGCCAGGAAGGAGGCTTAGTCTCAAAGAGTTCTGGAGTGTTCTTCCCAATTATCTGTGCACCCCAGGGCCTAATCCTACTTAGGGTGTGTGAGTGGGAAAAGCCATATATTCTGAGCTTTCTGAGATGTAGGCACAGGAGATATGGCCAATCAGATAGAGGAGTTGCTGGAATCTGACTAGCGTCCATCCAAAGTATCAGTTAGAGGATGAGAAGCCGATAAAAGTGCGAAGGAACTGCTGGTCCTTTCAGAACCACATACACTCTTGGTTCTGGTCACTGGAAAACAAAAAAACAAAAACAAAACAAAACAAAAACAAAACAAATCCCATTTGAATTCCCAACAAGGACCTAAGCCTTAGAAGATTCCAGTGTTATCTTGGGAAGACACAATTATGTTCCCTTCCTTTCTGCAAGTTTTGGGTATTTTAGAAATCCTATGAGGACTGGCTGGGAGGCAACCTCTTAGGGAGAAATAGCTTGCAAGTGCTGATGGAGTGTGCTGCCTTGTAACCTAAGCTCAGACTGTCTGCCCCCCCCCAACTTTTCATCTCCATTTTAGCATTTACCTGTAGAGTACTTCATCCATTTACAGTGCCTGCCTTAGCCTTGTGCACTGCCTTTCTAAGAAAGTCCATTCCTACAATTGCTCCCCATCCTTTATTTATTTTTTTTTTTTGTTAAAACCCTTGACTTCCTATATTTATTCTGACGGAGACACGTTTTGATCAACATCCTGCTATCTTAAATTCTAAAACTTCTGTACTAGGAGCTCTCTTGAACTACATAGGATACCTTTTCACAAATGGTTAGACAAACAAACAAAACCCCAAACGCCCCACATGGGAGGTGTCAGTGTAAGGTTTGCTGCATTATTGTATTATTGCCAAGTTGCTACTTGTGAAGGATTTTCTTCAGATTAATCTGACTCCTCATATACCTCCTCTTTTCTACGTGTTCAAGGGGAAATTGAAAAAAAAATCCTGCAGTTGTATCTCAAAAGGTTTGAGTCCAATGCTCAGCTGAAGGAAGTTGTTACCAACTGGTTTGATGCAAATGGAAACTTCTTGTGGATTACTGACCACTTTTCAATGGAAAGAGGACAGAGCATCAAACTCATTTAGGGTATGAGAAAGTGTCATAGATTTAGAAACCAACAATGCACATTTATGCAAGGAATGCAGTATCGGATGACGTCACCCATATTTATATAAGATTTACTAGGAGATGAGGGATATGCAAGACAGTGCAAGTGGCCATCATCCTGGCCACAGGTGACACACAGCAGCTGGGTCAGGGTTAGGGGTGTCAGGTCAGCTGGTGTTTGTAAAGTGACTGTGTGTGGTGCTCTCTACATTCCAGACCTATGGTATGCCTCTTCTTGGCGATGTCTTTGCTGCATAGGGCTCCAAAGCAGGTTCAGACATGTGGGGAATGTGGTCTGGAGGGGATCTCCAGAGAGCAGCTGCCTTCTTTAGTCCTCTGCTTAGGCATCAGAGGCTCTGGAGACCTGTTGAGAAGGCATGTGGGTGAAATTATCAAAAAATATGACAGTGGTTATATGGACTAGAAGGAGCCTAGGGAGATGGTGACGCTGTCTACTGGCAGGGCCTTCGATCCTGACCTGCAGTTGGGCACTTGGCTCTGTCTCTACTGCAGTGATCCCTTCCCCCACATGATGGGAAATCCAATCCCTACCTGTCATAGGTTCTCTGAGAGTATGTCTCTGAATCAGCACCATCTGGATGTTCCTAGAAAGGCAGCCCCAAGTGGAACCTGAGATGATGTTTGTCTCTAACAAGTTCCTGTGAGATATTCGTAATGCTAGGTTTTGTTTGTTTGTTTGTTTTTACATTTGGTGTGTGTGTGTGTGTGTGTGTGTGTTTTAATAGCTACTGACCTTGACTAAGCTCCAGGTTCCTGGGCCACAGAATTCTGACCCTTATCGAGTTTAATGGTCCAAGCTGCCTGTCTTTTCAAGAGATGATTGCACCTGTCATGTGTGTGCTCACTGAGATGTTTGGACTGGGGTGGATGTAAGTACTTAGGTAGGACCCCTCCAATCATGTAGTAGACAAGTACAAGAAGAAAGGGGAATAGATGAAGACTGAAGGCCACATTTGAATTCCTTCCTGAGGTCTTGACTAGTCTGTGTAGGTTAGTTTTGTAAGGCAGGTCACCAGACAACTAAAGGTTGAACAATCTACAGGTTCTTCAGGTTTCCGCAGATGCCCATCCCAGTTGGCCTCAGCTAGGCAGACTAGCCATTTATTAGCTTACTCTTAAAAACAAAACAAAAAGAGAAGGGAAACAAAAGAATGATGACTTCTCCATGTTGCAGGAGAGACAAAGAAATAATCATTATTCTTTGTACCTGCCTGTGTTCTCTAGCCACAGCCTAGTATATGAAACTAGGAAAACAGAGATGGAAGTGATTTCCCAAGGGAGGCCAGGGTTAATCCCCAACAAGCTCTATAAATACAGTTTGATCTGTATCCCCCTTCCCTTTAGCCCTTAATGACACTTGGTTGCTTCTAGAATTCCATACTTGACTCACAGTGCCAAGGCAATGTGGACTCAGGGCTAACCACGAAGGCTTTAGAACTAAGTAGATTTAAGTGTTGCCCCCAACTTCATCACTTATTTTAGAGAACTAATTCCCCCTAGTCTTGATTTTCCCACCACAGAAATGGGAACGGTATTTGCTTCCTCTATGAAATTGTGCATGGGAAGCAAGGTTCGAACTCTACCTTCACAACATTTAGCTGGCGTAGCATGTCCAGTGTGTCTTTCACAGCCTGAACTGAGGAGAGAGGAAGGGAAGTCAAGCCTAAGGTGACAAGTACAAACACCTGGCTATTGGCTAAGCATCTTTGTCAGATACAGCTTTCTAGGAAGGAGAAGAAAGTGTGTCGCCTCCGTCTCTGCACTGGTTGGTTTGAAGGTCCTGGCTTCCCTAAATTAACTTCGTGCATCAGTGTCCCCCTTTCCCCTCTCTAACCCTCTCACAGCTCTTTCTCCGGTGGGGGCCTGTGCCTCAGAGGCTGGCTGGGTGTGGTTGAGGTTCCAGAGCCAGCATGCTTGGGTTATATGTCCCCGGCTACATCTTTTTTGACAGTTAGGGCTGGACTGGACGGGGTCATACTCTTTCTATTGAAATCGATGCAAACTGTATTAGCTTCTGGGGAGAGCAGGGGCCTTTGGGGATTCTTGTATTTGCTGGGTTGTAAACATTCTATGGGAAAGCAGCTCAGGAGAATCTGCTTAGCTCTCCACCTTGCACATTGAAGTGATGTTGGCTGCATGCACAAAAGTATGAAAAAAAAAAAAAAGGAGTGTAATTTTCCCTTCCTTCTGCAAAGTTTGCCTTGGAATTTAAACTCTGCCAGTCTGCATGTGTCATGCATTTCTTTTTCTCACTTGTAACCAAGGGATCAAGCTTTGGGATTCATTGTCAAGCAGAGTATCAGATGGATGATGGTGAAAGGGGCGGGACATGCTGCTGCCTATGACTAGGTACCCCTGGCTGAGGGTTTCTCTTTCTAGGAATGCCTATTTCACATGAATCAAAGATCTCAAGAGGATACAACTCTGGCCTGCTAGTTTGTTCATCTCTGTCTCCACTTCTGAAAGCTGTATTACTATTTCTCTTTCATTTCTTGTAAGGAAGGAAGAAAAAGACTGGAAAAGAATAAAAGAATTGACACAGTAACTTCATTCTGTCTGCATCACGCTGGGCAGAACACTGTCTGGGAGGGGGCGTAGCAATATGACCCTTGAATAATGGGTTTATATTATAGAATAAATGTACCTATCACTTTGGAGTCTAAAGGGAAGAGGTTCGCAATAAACACAGAAAAGTTTCATGCTCAGGTCCTGTTCTTAGACAAAGGATTCAATTAGATGAGCAGACATTGACACTTTAAAGGCAATTTGAAAATCACCGTTTTACAAGTTTCACACCTACTGATCTGTCTGTAATCTAGGTCACTTAGTGTTCTGGGTCAGTGGTAAGCAAGGACTTGCTATTGTCTTTGCTCCTTTGGGCCAGTGAAGGGTGTCTGGTGCTTGGGAAAGGAGACCTCGTGGCAAACATAGACGGGATAATTTGAAGCACCAGAAAGAAAATAAATAAGCCAAGGTCCTGCGACAGAGGCTATGAAGGCTGCTTTGGATCAGGGTGGTCTGGGGTGGCCTCTTGGAGGAAGTAACATTTGAGGTGTCATTGATGAGAGCCAGTGGACAGTTGGGCCGGGGAGCCGGGACTTGGACCACAAGGGCAACATTGGTGGTGCACAGGCTGTTGAGGGGGAGCCCAGGAGCACAGCCTTCTGTCCCAGGCAGCAGCTGAGCTAGCGAAGGGGTCCTGTCTGGTGTGGTTCCTCCCCACACAGTGTTATGGTTCAGGCAGTGAGCCTGGGGGTGCTTGGTCGAACTGGACTCCCTGGTTGCCTGCTCCTTCCTTCCTACTTCCTCCTGGGGACTGCTGAAGAGCACCAGGCTGATCTCCTGGTAAGTGAAACTGACTGTAATTATTTTTTATCTTGCAGACGATCTCTCGCACACTCCTCTCCGGAGACAGAAGTATTTGTTTGATGTGTCCACGCTCTCAGACAAAGAAGAGTTGGTGGGCGCAGAGCTCAGGCTTTACCGCCAGGCGCCCCCAGCGCCCTGGGGGCCACCAACCCGACCACTGCACGTGCAACTCTTTCCCTGTCTGTCCCCACTGCTGCTGGACGCCAGGACCCTGGATCTTCAGGGGCCAGCCCAGGTCGGCTGGGAAGTCTTCGACGTGTGGCAGAGCCTGCGCCCTCAGCCGTGGAAGCAGCTGTGCTTGGAATTGCGGGCAGCTTGGGGCGAGCTGGACGCCGGGGATACCGAGGCGCGCACGAGGGGTCCCCAGCAGCCACCGCCCCTGGACCTGCGGAGTCTGGGCTTCGGCCGGAGGGTGCGGCCGCCCCAGGAGCGTGCCCTGCTCGTGGTTTTCACTAGATCCCAGAGCAAGAACCTGTTCGCGGAGATGCGCGAGCAGCTGGGCTCTGCCGAGTCTGCGGGAGCCGAGGGGGCATGGCCAGCGCCTTCGGGCGCCCCAGACGCCGGGCCTTGGCTGCCCTCGCCCGGCCGTCGGCGGCGACGCACCGCCTTCGCCAGCCGCCACGGCAAGCGGCACGGCAAGAAGTCCAGGCTGCGCTGCAGCAGAAAGCCCCTGCACGTGAATTTCAAGGAGTTAGGCTGGGATGACTGGATTATCGCGCCCCTGGAGTACGAGGCCTATCACTGCGAGGGCGTGTGTGACTTTCCGCTTCGTTCGCACCTGGAACCTACCAACCACGCCATCATCCAGACGCTGATGAACTCCATGGACCCGGGTTCCACCCCGCCTAGCTGTTGCGTTCCCACCAAATTGACTCCCATCAGCATCCTGTACATCGACGCGGGCAATAATGTGGTCTACAAGCAGTATGAGGACATGGTGGTGGAGTCCTGCGGCTGCAGGTAGCGGTGCCATCCGCGCCTGGGCCAGGGACCATGGAGGGAGGCCTGACTGCTGAGAGGCAGAGCAGGAGCTGGCCTGGAAGAGGCCACAAGTGGTAGGAGCAGGGGGGAGAGGAGGCAGCCCAGTGCTCCCAGAATCTTCTGCTCACCAACCCAGAAGCAGCTAAGGGTTTTCACACTTTGCCTGGCCATCCTGGAAAGACTAGACAAGGATTCTTTCTTTTTCTTTTCTTTATTATTGTGGCTTTGGGTTTTCTTGTGTCTCCTTGGTTTTGATAGGAGATGGAAGGAGGAAAGATGCCTATCTGTTCACAAGTGTTCCGTGGATTGGGGGGAGGGGAAAAGGGAAACGAGAGAAAGAGCCAATCACTTTTGTCCACATCTCAGACCGGTTGCATCTTCCTGCATACGAAAGTGAGGGTCCTTGGGCCCCACGTGCTGCGGCATCATAGCTGACACCCTTGGCTTCTGCACAGGAAGTTTTAGGGGAGTTGGCCAAAGGAATATGGGAGTCGGGAGGGGTATTGCCCTTAGAGAAGTTTCTCTCCTTTCTGCATTCCCATGCTTATCAGCTCTGCCCTGGCCTCAACCAGCTCAGGGAACTGGTTGTTGCCACCACTGTGGACTCAGGTCTCCGGATGCCTTTACTGCTGCTGGTGAGGAAAGCAGTTGGTATGGATGGAATGACTGGAATTAGTCCCTGTGGAACCCCGTGAAGGATAATGAGAAACCACAAGGCCTAGCTCTGACCGGGTGACAGGAGGTGCAGCACCCAAGGCTACAAGTAGCCCACCCCAAAGATCTTCATCCTGCGTGTTTCTCATTGATTTCTTTAAACAGAATTTGTCAAAATTCCAGCACCTCCTTCTAAGGCAAAGCCTTTTTTTTTTTTTTTTTTTTTTTGTGAATGATGAGGGGTAGGGACTCTATAATTAAGGTAAGAAGGAAAGAGGAGGAGGAAAGGACCTAAAAAGTACAAGCTCCATCAGAAGGGGAGATGATGGGGAGCAGGAGGATGGATTTGGGGGCCAGGCTCCAAGCAGGGAAAGGATGAAAGGGCCAGGAGCCTCTGCCTCTGAAGTTTCTAAAAGTTAAGACCCCTCCCCTCTCTCTGGCATTCCTGAGAGATTACCAGGCAGCAATCGCCCAGGGCTCCCCCTAGAGAATTGTTTTAGATTGTAATTACCAGTTAGGTGGTGTTTTTAAACTAGTAATGAGATACTGTGAAGAGTCAAGTGTTACATTGAGCTTGGGGTGGGAACTGGGGTACAGGCATCAAGGAAAGGAAGCAGGAGTGAGCACACAGGGAAACGCCTGTTCCCAGGTAGTCAAGACCTCCAGCCTTTCCTCTTCTGAAACCCTGCCCGCGCAGAGGCCCGCCTTTGACAAACGCGCTTCCTTGCTTGCAGAATAGTTTAAACCCAGGAAGGGTGTTAACGTTTGCAGACTGTTTGAAGGTACCCCGAATGGTTTGTTCTCTCCCTGCTAAATCTGTTGCTTTTCAGAGATCTACAGACTGTCAAGCAAAGGGTGGAAATACTAATAATACATGGTAATATAAAATGGTACGAGAGAAAAGACAAGACGTGTCCAGGAGAAGTAACTTAAATGCACATTTGCTTTGGATGCACTGTTCTTCTGTTGAGGCTGTATATATTTGTTTATTTAAGATGACTAGAAGTGCAAAGAGAAAACATGCAATCATCTTAATGTACAAAAAGTTATATGCACTCAAATGTTATAATTTCTAATATTTTTAAAGTTTATATTCGAGTTGTACAAAGTTAAGCATTAATCAGATATTTCATTCTTTCATAATGTTATCAATTTCTTAAATATTATTACAAAATTTTAAGTCTGTCTAATGGAGAGTTTTTTTTGAAACTGTCTACCTCACTATAATACAAATTTTGACAACACTAAAGTTACCAGAGGTTGATTGATAGTCAAAACATTTTTATGGTATACTTTCTTGGATGATACAGAATATGGTTAATACCATTTTATTAAACTAATTTTCCCCTTAATAACTCAGCCTGGTTTATGTGGATCTATAGAAATCATTTTCGAAAGGAATTATTGTCCACAGTGTTTTGTTCCAGTACCAGACAATTTGAAGACATTATTGTTTAAAGGTCACTGATATGAGAATTAATTTTCTTCAAAATTGCTCAATAACTTGAAATGATTTTTTTCATTCATAAAATTAAAGTCAAATCCTGGCCCACTGTTCACATTGTTGATCACCTGTGCCTCATCACATGGTCTCAAGAATCGAACCCAAGATCTCCTGCAGGGAGCATGTGGTTTATAACTAGTTGCATCCCTGGGCCCTGCTCAGTTCCTTTAATTATTGATTATTGCTTACATCTACCATCATCACAGGCAGTACATACAATGTGTTTCTTGTTTTTTGTTTGCTGCACATTGGGGAACTCTTATATAAATTTAAGTCAGAGAGTTTAGCATATGTCAGACACAGGGATGTTGAACCTGTGTTACCTATATCATTCAGAAATCCCACCAAGGAGGTATCATTGTAAACTCTTAAACAAGAGTAACTGAGGAGCAGAGAACTTAAGAAGCCTGCCGTAACCATCAGTCTAGCTGTGGCTGTCAAGCTCAGTCTTCTGGACTATAGAACCCAAGAATGCACCTGTCTGCTGGTCCCCACATGCCCACATCAGATGCATAGTAACCACAGTGTTAAAGGATTACCAGCTTGTGGAAGGAGCAATGCTTGTGGTCTTGTAGCATGCTACCTACCTGGTTTGTACATGGTGACAGCTTAGACAAGAGCAGCCAGAAAATGCTGAAGGGCTTACACAACCCAGAGCTGCTAGCTTTGGACTGTCCAGAAGGAGTGGTCACTCCGGCCATTGTTGGGATTTGGCATTATCTTGACTCTGCCACTGCCTTGGATGTGATTTTTGTGAGTTCTGGTTATCAAAATAATGGTCAATTTGCAATTAGGATATTTTAAAAGATTGCTTATATATAAGAAAGCTGCTTAAACCTTTCCCCATGGAATCACTATCCATGCAGGCTGGTTTCCAATGAGAATTCTTCGCATTTTTACCACTCTTTCTACCAAAATATTAAGTTTCCCCGATGTCTTAATTCCATCCCCAAGCCTTACTATGTACAACCCGGTCTCCATTTTCCCTTTCTGCAAAGGTTAGGTTCCATTCTTCTTTCTATCAGAAAGCTTATGCCTTAACTTAGGAGAAACACACTCTAATTGAGTTATCTGAAGATGTAAATATCTTAGTTTCATTGTTAAAGATATTTATTTGCATTTTAAGAAAAATCTTGTTTAATTTGATTTCCTCTGAATAATAATAATAATAACAATAATAACAACAACAACAACAACAGTAAATTCTAGGCCACACATTAGAAGCTTCAGCCTGTAAACCAGTTAGTCATTAATGAAAGACAGTTGCCACAAGGGAATTTTTGTAATGAAAAAATGAACTATGAACATTTTATTTTATCCTTGTCATTGGGAAAAGGTCTCATTATGTAGTCCAGGCTGGTCCTGAATTTATGTTCTTTCTACCCCAGTCTCATAATGGCTGTAATGACAGGCATATTTCCCTGTGGCTTCCTGTTCAACATATTTAACATTAATTTCCAATGTATAAAAACAAAATATTCAACAGTAATCTTTTTCTTAAAAAAATGACTTTCTTGGTCCTTGTTTCCATTCATGGATATATCCCTAGTATTCAGTGGTGCATTTGACATCCAACAAACATTTAGTAAATACACTAAGTGAATATGTTCACAAATTCTGTTCTGTTTACCAGTCTACTTGTAGCAGTCACATTCAAGGGAATGTGTGATTAATGTCTCAGCACAAGTTGAATGAGTCAGCCTTCCTTCCATTCTAAAGGATGGAGAGACGGCCCAGTGTTTAAGTGCATGTACGGCTCTTCCAGAGTTCAGAGTCCCTCATCCCCATCATGCAGCTTACAACCCCTCGTGACTCAACTGCACATGATCCACACCTCTTATGTCCTTCAAGAACATCTGTACTTACATGTGCACACACATATACACACACACATACACACATATACACACACATACACTTATACACACATACATACACACACATACACACACATACATACATGCGCACATATACACATACACACATATACACACACATGCACACATACAAACACATACTCATATACACTCACATACACACACATATATGCACACATACACAGTTTTGAAAAAATCTTAACTAAGCAATTCTAATTATAATCTTAGGTAACAAATGTTCTTTACATCTTGTAGATTGTTTTTTAAAAAATCATATAATCCAATTTTATTTTAAAACTTCAACTTTCTATAACAGGAGAAAAACAAAACAAATCCTTCTTATATACTCACACTATTCATGTAAAACAAATAAAGTCAGTTTCTAAGGCTGGTGTTTTATAAGTTACAGTAAATATTTCAGTTATGTTTGTATCTTTTGACTGGACATCAGAAACCAATTACTCATTTAAAGTTGAGAGAGGAAACTCCTTAGGTACTTGAGAACACTGCTTCTTATACACACATGGTACTCTACATATGTTTTAAGCACCAAATATACATAGATTGTCCCTTAATTTAAAAAAATATTTTTAAATTTAATGTGAAAGTATAGATATTTAGATCTCACTAACCTAATATTTTTTTTACTACAGTCTGAAATATCTTTGAATTAAAAACATTAACCAGCTCGTTATGGCGGTCCATGCTTGTCATGCCATCACTTTAGAAGCTGAAGAAGAGGGGGAAGAGTTCAAGACCACAGGTTGGAGAGGTGGATCCAAGTACTTGCTATGTAAGAACGGAAGACCCAAAGCTACCATGTACAGCTTACAACCTCAGCACTGTGGGGGCAGGGAGGTCACTGCTGCTATAGGAGTATTGTGGGACTTGCTGTTCAGCCAATTTATCCAGAGAAATATGGAGCCCAGTGTTCAATGGCAGACGCTGTCTCAAGGGAATAAGGCAGGGAGGGACAG